AACACATCCTTTCTTCATCTCAATTCCTTTGATTGTTACTTCTTTTGTGCACAGGCGATTTGTCCTGAATGTTTTCAAAATCACAAATGCTGCCAGGTTCACTAGGAGAACATGAAATCGCTCGTGGCAGGTAGTTTAGGTTTTCAAACTGAAGCAGCTCTAGGAAGAGTAAAGTGGCAAACAGCGTAAACTTTCAAGCGATGACGCAAACCACAAACTCACCCGAAAATAATGAAGAAGAATGCAGGGACAATTGTAAACTCGCTGAGACCAGCAGAGTACGTCGACTTCCATTTTTGCAAAGTGGAAAATGATTGCAGCGAGGAAAGTTTTTGAAGCGAGTCTTTACAGTCTCGAGAGCTTCAACCTCCATTGTGAGCATCCATTCAGAAAGACGGGTAGGGCGTTTCAAAAAAAAATCTTTACTAAAGTACTCCATACATCTCCTCGTACAGGAGTGCTGACCCCGTCGAGGATTTTCGCTCGAGAAGGATAGGTACCTTTTGGCGCGTTATCGCACTTTCCATGACCATAGCTTCATCTTTATAAGGGCCATTGATCAAACTTGTTCTGACACACTGCCTCGACGTTTAGCGCAAATCATTGACTCTGCCATCTCGCGCTTATGACAGGACAGTCTCTCTGCACAGATCGCGAGTGGATCTTTGGAAAGGTAGCAGGAACCCTGATCACCGGAATGATGGTACTGTCGCACCTTAAAAATGGCGCTAAGGCCCAGGGCCTTGCCTTGTGTGTTGCCATACTGCCATCCTTATCGATCGCAGCATACGTGGCCGTCTGCGCCCTCCTCGCGCTTTCCTGCTTCACACGACGCTGTAGATGGTCGTACCAGTCGAACTCAGAAAAAAATTTCGCTGTTTTTTGTGATGCTTTTTGTTTTTCTTCATTAACGCTTCTCTTCGCCTTTCTTATCTAATTTCCAAATTATATAAACAGCACTTTCAATCAAGGCCTTTTTGAATTTTGTGGTTTGTAATTCTGAACAGCGCGTTGTGAATTCACTTGCAGACTTCTTGCTTCATGAAACTACGTGACTCTCATATTTGACTTTATTCTTATATATTATTATTTACTGTTGTGTTTTTTTTGTTATATTTTGATCTAAGCATATGGTACAGTCAAAGCTAACCTAACAACTGGTGGGTACATACGTAATGTTTCAGATATGCACTGATCCACATATTTCATCTCGCTCAACATTGCGTAGGTGATATCGCTCTGAAAATAAAGACCTCTGGGACATTAGCCGGTATTAGTTTGGAGCGAAAAATACACAAATTAATTTTTTGCTACCTCTGTTCCACATATATGTTCAATCTCCTCTCTGCAACGTTTTTGGTAAGCCTCATGGGCAGCAAGCATGTAAATAGTGAGGTGAAGTGCAGCCGGAGTGGTCTCAAATCCAGCTAGAACAAACATGAACGCCTAAACAATCTCTTTGAAAGGTGAATGAAAAGTTGGTAAAGTGCATCCCAAATTTGTTCAAATTATTGAATTAAGTGTGTGGAGTTCAGGACGAGGCAGGCACATTTGTAGCACATCGCTTGGTATTTCAGTTGTAAACTCTGTCTACAAATTTTTGTTTATAAATCCGATCCAGTTTTCAAGTTAGTAATGAAACCGTTGAGTTTGAACGTGAACGAACTCTGGACTGAATACCAGTCCATGGATCCAGAACCACATCTTGGCTTTCTTTGCTGGCAGGAGCGTACAAGTACTTCTGTAGTAACTACTCAATGATGCTTTACGGCGGCCAATGAATAGATAGGACGGGCTCTACTGCGTTAATTCGAGCTAGGTTTCGAAGCCTGTGGTGTGCGAGTCTGAAAAGTCTAGCAGGTGAAGGAACGTCGCCAAGAGGACGTAAGTGAAATCAAGGCCGCAGCAAAACATGCCTTAAAGGACGAATTCACGATTAGAATGAAGGTCGAAGAAGGAGTAATTCACCTAGTTGAGGGACCCGCGGACCTCCTAAGGGTGCGGACTGAAGCGCAATTGGCACCGAAGGAGTTGACCTCGGCGACCTATTAAGGCTCAATCTTGGCGCGGTGGGCCAGTGCACGCCCACCGATCATCTGATCACTCGCCGCAGGTCTATACGTGGCGAGTGATTAGATAGCAGAGAGAGCGTAGTGTTGAAGAGGGCACAGCGATGAGAGTCGCATCAATGCTCAAATCAACGGGCAAGGAAGGGGTCCCATTTCTCGGGTTCTGGGCCGTTTCTCATGGTTTTCCTTCTTTCGTGTACCACTCACCATCCCTAGGTTAATTTGAAATGGGTTGCTTTTTCATCGTGAATTCGTCCTTTAAATAAGAAGTTGGTGACGTTAAATAAAAGCAGTGGGCAGTGCGGTGGATCTGACCCACGGGAAAGAATGAAGACATTTGGACTGCGTGCTATTTTGACGTGTTGGTAAAAATGTTTTCTAGAAAGCTTGATGTCAGTGATGCAAGGGCATCAAAAGCTTGAACGAACTAGCTTCATGTTGAGTATATTTAGGTTTGTGGAGCCTAAATCCTTCTCAAAATGCTATGTTTCCCAATGAACCCTGAGGCCTAAAAATTATGCAAGGTCAAGTGTGATTTTCTCTCGATACCGCGTTTTTTCCTTATATTCGAAATTCAAGTCGTTTCCAATGAAATCAATAATTTGGTTGTAGTCAGCTCCTACCTGCCCAAGGATGTCGCCTTTGCTGAGACTCTTGGTACTACTGCCAAGATCGAACTCAATTTCGCTATCCTTTTCTCTATTGCTGCTACTCTCTCGGAACGAGCTCAGTAGTATTTGGAAGAAGTCGTTGTACTTCTGCAAATAAACACGGCTCAATTAACAACGCGAGTGAACGATGTGCCGCTTTACCGATTTATTGCCTTTCTGCCTGTCGTTGAATAATTTCTCTAGGACATCGAGGAAAAATTTATTAGCCGCATGATTGAGGATAGAGATGCCAGTCATTCTTTGAAATACGGCACAAATGTTAGGAAAGAGAACTGAAAACAGACTTGTTTGAGTTTTGATGAGGCTTTGAAATAAGAGGAAAAACCAGTCTACAGCAATCTTCACGGCTTTCCTTTTCTTTGGATATAGAGCACCCTCTAAATATTTAGCACACGCTCATCTCCATGTTCGTCACCAGCTTTTGCATGCTATATGCCGTTAAAATATGAATTGCCATGTATAATATTTGAATGAATTCTTCAGAGACAGTGATTACGATAGATTCGAGGGTTTATAGGAGACTGGTGGTGCTCAGTGGTACGCCAGTAGGCGAAAAAAGCGGAGAAATCCGTCAAGAAAACGCAAAACGGGACCCTTTTTGGCCGTTGGTTTTCACTCATGAACAGGTAACAGCTCAGAAAGCGGACGTATGAACGAGTTCAGCGCAACGCGTTTGGTGACAGCATGCCAAACCACGTCGAGTTGCTTTAGTTGTGCCGCTGGCAACGCAGCTCGTCCAAATCACCAACTAAACTAGTGGGCGGATCGCTTTTGGGGCGGAGTGCTTTCGAAGTCCTGCTCAGCAACCAGCGCACCTTTCGTCGTGAAAGCGCCACATTTCGCTGGCAGCCAAGTAACTGATTCGTGTGGTGCATATGCTTCCCCGATGCGCTCCCTCTTTATCGTAATCCCTGCCTTTAAGCTGCAAACGGCGCAGATTTTGTTTTTCCGGCACCGGTACAGTCCTACTCTATATAAGTCAGCAGTATTTGGGGGGGGGGGGGGGAACATCCAAAATAGGGTCGTTGAGAGAGTACCTGAGGGCTGAGTTCAGGAGGAGGAGGAACGCCAGAGAAAACGAATATTGTTTACATCCTCTCTTCCAGTCATGTATTCTTTGCAGTGCTGAAATGCAAATATGGAGGCCATGTACGGTTGCCGATATTTGTTGTACTGTTTCCATCCCTATACGATGTCTACCACAAAGGTAACTAGGTAGCCATAACATGTTTCCGTACAATCTCTTTTACAATGGCTTCTATTTTCTCCGTATTCGAACAAAACTTCTAAAACAGGACAATACCCTTACACAGAAATAGCCTATGGGAGTGATGGAGCCCGATTTTTGTTGATTTTCAATAATGTCTTCGATACTGATCTTGAAGCAGTGCCCTATCGTACGGCTTAAAGGCAGAATTCTCGATGGAAGAGCAACCCATTTCAAATTAACTTAGGGATGGTGAGTGGTACACGAAAGAAGGAAGAACCATGAGAAACGGCCCAGAACCCGAGAAATGGGACCCCTTCCTTGCCCGTTGATTTGAGCATTGA